AATTGATGCATGCAGTTGCATGTTCTGTGGTCAGAAATGTGAGGGGTGGTCTTTTCGGCAATTTCTGCCCTTGCATAAAAACGCATGGGTTTGGTCAATCTTTGGAGTGTGTTTAGAGAAGCAACAGAGGGATCGCTCTGAAACTTGACAGGTACCTTAGTGAAGATATGGTTCAACAGCTAAGCAACGCAGCTTACTATGAGATTCTTGTTCTCAGAGATAATGACCAGAAACGGACAGCCATTGCCAGGTAATTCAACATTTATCAGGAACCGTTTGTGAAGTCCTCCAAAGAAATGGGGGAACCTACTCCAATACCTCGACCAGGGTGGCCGCGTATCACACCAAGAAGACAGGGTCGCCTTCTTCTTAAAGGACGCCGTGCTGGTCGTACAAAGACAACCAGTGTCCTCAGAAAAGAGATGCAGAATGTCATTCAAACGCCCGTTTCAAGGTCCCTCGTGAACAAGAGATTACTGCAAGCCGGTTATTTTGCACGAAGGCCAGTAGGGAAACCACTGTTAAGAGCAGGCCATATACAGCGACGTCTGCAATGGGCTGGGGACCACGTGCATTTGCAGCCAAAACACTGGAATCACGTCGTTTTCAGTGTTGAGGCCAGATATGGATTTTTTAGGGTTGATCGTCGAATCCGAGTCCACCGACGTGTACGAGAGGCATAAAACGATGATTGTGTACTGCCTAGGGTGCAAGCAGGGGATGGTAACGTCTCTGTTTGGGGAGCATTTCATGTCGGTGCCCAGAACCAGTTGGTTTTTCTAGGAGGCAACCTCATCCAGGATTCCTACAGAGACATTCTACAGCAAACAATGCTTCGATTGGTAAGAGTCATCTTCAGGAACAACTTTGTGTACCAAGAGGACTGCGCAACCCCACATCGAGGTCGCAGAATCACTGTTTTTCTTCAAAACCAATGGGTTCAGCAACTGCCCTGGCCTGCAAACTCTCCAGATATGAACCCAATTGAAAATCTGTGGGCGGAAGTAATTCACAGAATTAATAGCTAAGGTCCTCGGCCGGTAAACAGTGATGAACTGCGACAGGCAAATGTCACTGCGTGGAATGATATCCCCACCCAAATTCTAAAAAACTTGTCACAGGGTATGCCATGTAGGATGAGGGCGCTGCAAGCGGCTGCTGGAGGTCATACCCGCAATTACTGACTTTTCATGATTAACCGTAGGGAGTTCTTTGACTGTGTAACATATCACTGTCCGGAGGCTATCATTTTCTTTAATATCTTATCTTAAAGTTTATACTGACATCAAACTGTTGATATGGTTTTCTGGGGGTGTTCCTTTCTTTTGAATGGCATCTTATGTCAGATTTGATATTATTGACCAAAATATCTCACAACAGAAGACTGGATGTTATTATCACTCAGTGACTCAAGCCCAAAAAAAATTAATTAGCACTCAAAAATAACAATGATAAAAAATATTCCATTTTAAGTAGCAACCCTGTATGTATAGGGCATCAAACCGAAGTTCATTGTTTTAAGTTTCACAGAGATGTATCACCGTTGCTCATTCTAGCACCATAAATGGCTGCAATCCTTTTAAATAAATAATGTGCACCCGGGGCTAGTTGGCCCCCTTGACTCGGGGCAAGTTGGACCCTCATATTACTCACAATCCTTTGCGCGCTACAGAACTAGAGTTTGTTAAATAATTACCCGTTTCAAACTGATTTTTAGTTTCTTTTAAAATGAAAATTAATTGTTTGTTTTTATTCATTAAAAACCTGCTTTATACCATTATTAATTTATTCTTAATTAAAACAAATCAAGTTTTTTAATAGATATATTACAAATACAGCGTGACGTACAGAAATCTCAATAAATCTGCCTCCATGGCGGGGCAAGCTGGCCCCCCTGACGTCAACTGCGTTTTTTGTCAAATTGTGAGCCATCTGCCACAATGTTTGAAAAATTATGGCGTTGCATACGTAGCTTAGTTCATGGGGCTTACTTTGAAACCGGTTTTGTTACTCTAACTTAGTTGGCTCTACAAGGCCAAAAGTGTCTAACTGGGCCAACTAGCCCCGGTCTACCCTAACCTTCCCCAGTTACTCCGCACGCTCCGAGGTATGAAAAAATAATACTATTTAGTTTTTGGTACTTTACCTATTTGACACACGTTCTGCCGATTGCTCCAACCGTCCGCACAACCAGATGTACAAGCACCTGTACGCCTCTCACACACCTCTGCTGTATCCTTACAGTTACATTTATATCTACATTCTGGACCAAACGTCTTACTACTACCACAATCTGAAAATGTGTGCATCACGTGAGTATGAGCAAAAAATTGTCTCACGGGACCTTTGCTTTGTAAAAGATTATACAAAAAAAGCTTCCGTGACTTCTAACTAGTAAAATAAGGCACACAAAAGCACGTTATGCCATTTTGTTGACAGATTACTAAGGTTTTTTTATTTCAAACTTTGTATGAATATAACAATAAATATTTAACTTATATTATAAACCAGTGCGCACCATGTTAAATATCAGACAAATATAAGGATTTAAGGGCGTTTGCATACCTTGGTATTTGTAGCCTTTTACCATCACCTCACATAGAATCAAAGGTTCTGATGTGGTGCTGTTCAAACTAACCCTCACAAACTGCCCTACTAAAGATGCAGGATTACAAGGCAGTTCAACAGAGCTGTCGTCAGGCACCTGTTCCTCTCGTCTGGCACAAAAGTAGACCGAGTTGTTTGGCAGTGAAACCTTGACTTCAATATTCTTCAGGCGTCCACCAGCTAATAGACATCACAAAGCAGTTAACGTAAATTATTATGATAACAATCATCATCCCCTACAATCTCAATATCATTCTTAAACAAAAGTCTTCAGCCATAAATATTATTTATTACAACTGGTAAGGGTGATCGTTTATGCTTATTCACTTTCCCTCTTTGAAAATCGTACCCCATGATACAAAAGAACAAAGAAATTTGTTTCAAGTTTCAGTTAATACTTTTTAAAAGCCATTTTGATAATGTTCCAAGAAATGTTTATCAAATAGTATTGAACTTTTTCTGAGTCCGCACATTTAAAAGTGAGATAAGGAGGCTTTGGAATATGTTCTCGACGCCCTTTGAAAGTGTCTTAAAACAATTGTAGAATTTATTCGTTCTGTATTCCAAAATGCAAGTGATACCAACCGCGTGAACGAATAGTATAAAGCATAAAACAAAGACAAAAGCAATTACATTTTTCCCTGTTCACTAATGTCACCGAGTAGATGTAATACATGTCACCGAGATCAACTTCCCACCATGGAAAACGTTCAACATACTCTTCGGTAGCTGTGCAACTGCCGTCGAAAAAGCGCGTGTTCGTATTTCCATCTACGGCAAGTCTAGCGAGACTTGCAGAAGAAAAATTACTAGACTGGCTTGCTGTCTTCCCAAGAGCTATGTTAACTGAAATACAAATCAAATTGTAAAATGCATTGTCAATTCAAGTAATGAGGGTATGACAACCTCTTACTGTTTGGAGTCATAGCTAATTGTGCATGTCTAATATCTTTGCGTACCTAAGTTCACATCTCGATAGTCCGTACTGTAAGTCTTTTGTGTTGCACCAGATTGTTCATGGATACTTGTTATACGTTAGTTTGTAATGTGTAGCAACTTGTTATGTGTACCTGTACGCTTATTTGTTCTGTATGATCATGTAAGTGAGTAATGCTTTCTGTTATTCCCGACAATCGGCATAATAACATATATTGTGACTGTGGTATAAATGGCACGTAGTAATATGTAGAATCCGGTGCGACTCATATATGATAATAAGCTGGTGTGTTTGTTTATATGTAACGATGTTAATCAGTTTGTGTTTTGTGTTACGTTAGTAATATGTAGAATCCGGTGTGACTTGTATATGATAAAAGCTGGTTTGTTTGTTTATATGTTACGATATATGTTAATCAGTTCGTGTCATGTGTAGCAACTTGTTATGTGTACTTGTAGGTACCGGCAGCAAGCATATAACGCATAGAAAAACCTGCTTAAAAGCGCCAAACAGGTCATTTTCAAGGTTTAATTTCAGTATCAAATTTAATAGTAACCCCCTATATTTTTATACCATATAAAAGTGCAGGTGTTGCTCTTACAAATCATATAAAACAAAGCTAGATTTGACATTAAAAAACGTAGTCTAATAAGAGATGTAAATAACATGTTACGCGCAGTTTAGCAGAATTGTACTGCTGCTGACAGCACAGCAGCGCTTAGGTGCAAATGCGCTCCTTGACAAGGCATTAGAAAACGTCTCGGGGATTTTCCGCTATTACTTTCACACGCATGTTTTTGTTGTCATCTTAAAGCTGAAAAGAAGAGCTAGCCAACGAAGTAACATTCGAAAATATCCACCAAG